GAAAGAATGCATGGACCGTACTTTTATGAGTAAAATTATAACCACATAGAAATATTTGGTAGACCTCTAGCGAGTTTTTGTTTTCTTTTTTTTTAGGTTTCATTTAGTGTGTAGTTAATGTGAAAAGGTTGAATTTGAGTTTTCTCTCACTATATTTAGCTTAGATTTTATATGTAAATCTCTAAGTAGTATAGTATTATTTTGTACTGAACTGAAAACTTCTGGTGAGTTTATTGCTACAGTCTTCCAGATTATACAGAAAATGTATTTGTGATTTAAATAATGTCATTAGCCTGTGGAGGTCTATGGAAACTTAAGGTAAGATGTAGCTTTCAGAAGATAGTAAAAGCCTAAGGAAGAAAATGTTTTCTTTATTTTTCTTCTCTACATTGGAAGAATTAATCGGATTTGCAATTTACTCTGAAAACATGCCATCATCTATGTCTGAAAGTAATAATTTATTCTTTACATATATGATATGAATATATGCTATGGATATGAGCAGATCTATAAACATTTGCCTGAAAACTTTTCATCATAGAGTTTTGGAAAAAATATTATTAGTTCAATTGGTATGACTTCATTTACATGAAATGCTGTTATAAAAGTCATAATTTTAATATCAGAATACAAAGTGTCTTAAGTATTATCCTTAAGTACATACCTAGTCTGAAATATAAAGTTCATCTATAAGTTTTTTATTAGGAAAGATGATTGATAGCTTATTAATGTATGAAAAAAAAGTAAATATAGGCAATTTGAGAGTTGTTTTCTTTATTAATATGAAGGATTCTGGTATTATTTAGTGTAAAAGGTCATAGTGGTAAGTATAATAATCCCTAGATAGGATGCTCTCTGGTAGACACTTTCTTTATAATTACTAAATTGGTAGTTACAACCTTTTTGTAATGTGTTTGGTATATGAATACACTATTATGTTCTAGATATTTTAGTTTTCTCCCAATTTTACTTTGTCCTTGAAGTTTTAGTATTTTGTATCTAGAAATAGTTCAATCCTTTTGAAATATTGGCTCTAGTTCAACTCAACTGTCAAATTTAAGTATTCTGGTAAAGGAAATTAATATAAATATGTCAAATAAAAGTGTAAAGACCCCATATGCATATGTTAGAAGTATATGTTCCATTTGCACTAATGGAAATTATTTCTAATTTTACATATCTGTTTTTTCTCTAATGATCCTTTGTAATACTTATCTACATTGAAGCAAATATACTTGTTCTTATCTGATTATAAGGGAAAGCATCAAATTGTTTCCTAGGATAAGGGTGGCTTATTTAAGATCTTAATAATTAGGAACAGTTGATTTATTCATAAAAGGAAAGAGTTTATTTTGTTTTGTTTTGTTTTGTTTTACTATTTGAGTTTTGCTTTTTAAAATTTGTTTTGGCATTTTTGGAAAAAACATGCATCCGTAGCATTAAGCTACAGTTATTTATAGTAACAAATTTAGTAAAAGAAGAACTATCATGTTGACAGTGCCATAGGCACTTATTTTTTTACTTTTTTTTTTTTTTTAAGGAAGTTTCTCTTCTGTCTTGAGATTTTTGTGATTAGTATCTTCAGTTTGTCAACTTGGGGTTCATATTCAAAGTTGGTAGATGGAAAAGTTGACAGAACATTTATGTTTGTTGTATGGTTTGCTTATTTAGTAAATGTTTTGAGTACTGGAATAGGTGATGGAGATACAATTAATTCAGAAGAAATATTCAAAGACAGCAGAAAAACCAGGAGAATATTTCAAAGGGATGATTGTGTTAAGGAGAAAGTCTTTGACACTTCTCTATTTGCACGTGATAAGTAGAAGGACAGTTGCTGAAATGTGTGTGGTTATTGAAATGTATCTGTCATATATAAATACGCACATTAATATAAAGTACATATTGATATATTTTACTTTTTCTGTACTGAATCTTTGAAATCCCAGGTTAATTTTATTCTTAAACCTCAGTATGGACTAGCCACACTTTAAGGGCTCAATATCCACATGGTGCTAGTGGCTACTCTTGTGGGTATTGTTTCTCTAGATTGTCCTGTCTCATCTTTAAGATCATGGCTTCTCATTTCTCAGGGCATCTTTCTGTACTTCCCCAGGCCTGTTGGTTTCCTTTCATCCTCAGTTTTATAGAATCATATTTCTTTAGAGCACTTACCATCGCTGTAAATTAATCTTTAGTCACATAGTTTGATGCTGTCTCGTCCACAAATACAGGCGTGGATGTTTCCATTGTATTTCCAGTCTTTATACACAACTGGTGCTCAATAAGTAGAATTTGACATAATGAATTTTGCTGACTACTGTAAGGTAACTTGAACCAGAGTCACAAATTTAATTTTAGATCAGTTACTAAATTTTTGCAAATTATTTTTGCTGGGATGAGAATGTATAAAATATCATTAATATGAGAAGTAGTTTTAATTGTAAATTGTTCACTTGTAATGATGTTTTTCTAGGTGATAGCGCTTTAAGCTATCACATTTTTAAATAGGAAGCTTTTAAAACAGACTTGATGGTGAAACAGGGTTTAATAATTCAAATTTTTATTTAAATTTTATGGTCATTCATGTTGAAAGTTATGACTGACTTAAATTATTATAAAAGTAAATATTTAAAATGAATGAAGATTTTATTTTTTTAAATATATTTTATTGATTTTTTACAGAGGAATAGAGAGTTCGAAACATTGATGAGAGAGAAACATCGATCAGCTGCTTCCTGCACACCTCCCACCGGGGATGTGCCCGCAACCAAGGTACCTGCCCTTGTCCGGAATCGAACCCAGGACCCCTCAGTCCGCAGGCCGTCGCTTTATCCACTGAGCCAAACGGGTTAGGGCTGAATGAAGATTTTAGATAAACTTCATTGAAAATAGTCTTTTTCTTTTTAAAGAATGCTTACTGTGAGTTTGATAAAATGATTAAACCACCTGATCCATAGTATCTAATTACTTAAAAGCCAACAAATCATATAAATTATATTTTGGCCGTATTTTAGATAATCATATGTTGTAACATAGTCTTGAATATAAAAGATAAATTAAACATGGCCCCTATTGTAGCTTAATTTACACTTTTATGTGTGCTATGCATGTGGAACAGTGAGGTAACTCTTAAAGAGTGGGATAAGATTTCATTGCAAAGCTAATATTTGAACTGTATCTTGAAGAGATTGTAGGCATTTATCAAAGGAACAGCACATCTACAGATACAGTATTTCAAAAACACTTTATAATAGTTCCTCTAAGGCAATTAGGAGCAAATAATTCAACATAGTATGTGTTGGTAGGGGCAGAGCCAGGAAATGATTCTGGAAAGACAACTTGACAATGGCATCATACAGAGCCCACATGACTTTCTAAGGAGCTTGAACCTATCCTGCCTGCCCTGTAGGTAGCAAAATAATGGAAGAGGGACCTTAAAGTGTGAGCAGTGAGGAGGCAGTTACAGTAAAAGAAATGATGGGGCATATACTACCTTAGTGTGGGGATATGGAGAAGAGATTATAGGGTATACACTGTTCACTCACCCCCATCTCAACCCCCTCAACCCTTCCCATCCCACCCCCACCCTACTGCACCAAGAGGACAGGGTGTAATTCTGGCAAATTCTTTAACTGTCAAGGATCCTAATGTGTCTGTATTTTAATGAAAACTTACCGCGTAATAAGTCTGTTAATTACCAAAGGATAGGATATGCTTACCAAGTATAAATGATTGTGATTCAAGCAGTGTCATTTTCCACTGCATGCTGAAACTTTTAATGTAAATTACTTTTTCCTTAAATGATAGCCTGATTTTGCTGTGTGGTCATATTAATTTTAATTTACTTAAGAGTGAAAGGATATTTCATTAATTAACCTTAAAAATGATTACATGTTTTAGTGTATTGAGGTTGTAACTATGCTATATGTTAGAGACTATTTTCAACTTTGTCAGAATTTAAGGAATAAAGTAGAATTCTAAATAGGAACGTTTGTAAAATCACAACTCTTTATGCCATGAACCAACACTGTAACCAGAACAGGTGGGCAGGATAAAATGCCTCTGCTCTGAAACCATTTCTCTTCTATGTGTTGCACAGGGAGACCATGGGGGCCAAAGCAGCAGTAAGAAAATTATTATTCATTCTGCTCTCTGTCCCAGTCCTGTAACATAGTTCTGCTAAAATTTATTAGGAAAATCCCCCTCATCTTAGTGGTTGCAAGATTATATGGTCACACTGGTATGTTCCTGACAAAGCTTTGCTGTTAATTGTAACAAAAATGTCACACACAGATGAATACCGCACCAGCCCTTCCCATTCCCAGTGTCCCCTCAGTTTTTTGGGTTTTTTTGAAAGGGCAGTGGAAAGTGAAGCCTTTTTCTCTCTCTCTCCTTTTCTTTATCATTTGTGTGATGTCACAAGATTGGTGTTGTGATGGGCTTTTCATTATATCCATTTTTTTTAAGCCTTAAGTGAGGTTTCAGTGTGGCAAAAGTTTAGGTTAATGTTTTTAAAATATTTATATTACATTTATAATTACATATTTAATCAGTATTAAACTTCAAAAGTATGATATTTAAATCAAATTTCATGTTTTATCCTTGGAATTAATTTTGGCAACTTCACTACTTCAAAGAACTGGATTATGTTAAATTTTTTATCTAATATTTTGTTTAAATGAATTAAAATATATTTGTTTTTCCATGCAGATTTGAGTTCTGTGAACCTGCATTTGTGGTTGGCAATTGCCTCCAGATAGCATCTGACAGTCATCAGTATGATCGAATTTATTGTGGAGCTGGAGTGCAGAAAGACCATGAAAACTACATGAAAATATTACTGAAAGTTGGAGGCATTCTAGTCATGCCTATAGAAGATCAGGTAACTTCACCATCCTTTTGCTTAATGGCATAGAAAACAAACGCATTAGTTTAAGATGGGAAGTGTCTAACACCAGTAAAGGTACAATGTAATTTTTAAAGAAGAAATAATCTTCATTGATCTATATACATTAAAAAAATTGAAATGGACTCTTAATTATCTAACCAGAGGAGATACAGAAAAGTTCCCTCCACTACTATTAGAAGAGACTTGGTCTTTCACCCAAACTTAGCTGCAGTCTTTATGTTACAATAGTCCCCCCTTATCCTTGGTTTCACTGTCTGTTGTCTCAGGTACCTGTGGTCAATCATGGTCTGAAAATATTAAATGGAAGTTTCCAGGAATAATTCATAAGTTTCAAATTATGCCACATTCTGAGTAGCATGATGAAATCTTGAGCCTTCTCACTCTGTCCTGCCTGGGACATGACTCATCCCTTTGTCTATCATATCTACACTTTACACTATCTGCCCTTTAGTCACTTAGTAGCATCTCAGTTATCACATCGACTGTTGAGGTAATACAGTACCTGTATTCAACTTATTTTTCTGAATAATGGCCCCAGAATGCAAGAGCAGTGATGCTGTCAATTTGTTTAGGTCAAAGAAAAGCCATAAAGTGCTTCCTTTAAGTGTAAAGGTGAAGGCTCTTGACTTAATAAGGCATTGTATTATTGCACATTATCACAACATGAATGGTGAGTACAATACCATAAGGTATTTTGAAAGAAAGGCCACATTTACATAACTTTCATTATAGTATGTTGTTGTAATTCTGTTGGTTGTTTTTTGGAGCGTTTGTTTATTGTACTGATTTCAGAGGGAGGAAGGGAGAGGGAGAAAGAAATAGAAACATCAGTGATGAGAGAGAATCATTGATAGGCTGCCTCCTGCACACCCCCTACCAGGGATCTTGCCTGAAACCTGGGCATGTGTCCTGCTCGACCTGGAAACCTGGAATGGAACTATGAACTCCTGGTTCGTGGGTTGACGCTCAACCACTGAGCCACACCGGCTAGACTGATTCTGTTTTATTAGCTATTGTTAATCTGTTACTAAATTAAATTTATCATAGGTATGTATGTATAAGAAAAAAATAGTTTACACAGGGTTTAATGCTACCCATGGTTTCAGGTGTCCACTGGGAGTCTTGGAACATACCCCTGTGGGTAACGGGGCACCGCTGCACTTGCCAAGCTGCTCTCTTCTTCATTTTTCTGACCTAGAGGTGTTCAGTTGAATGTGATGCTCTCTACTAGCTGTTCAATTTTCAACATTTTAAAATTCCTTTAACATCTGAAGTAAGAAATCCTATTTAGGATTTGTTTGGACTGCTTAACTCCATTAAAGAAACAAGTAGCCCAGCCAGCGTGGCTCAGTGGCTGAGCATCAGCTAATGACACAGGAGGTCACAGTTCGATTCCAGGTCAAGGGCGCATGCCTTGGTTGCGGGCTCGGTCCCCAGTGGGGGGCATGCAGGAGGCAGCTGATCCATGATTCTCTCTCATCATGGATGTTTCTCTCTCTCTCCCTCTCCCTTCCTCTCTCTGAAATCAATAAAAATATATTTTTTTAAAAAAGAAACAAGTAAATTTTTAAACCTTCATATAGTACTTCATAGACTCATTTGAGAATATTTTTCAGCTATTTGCCTGCCTGTGGTTTGTAATTATTAGGTATAACAAATGTATGAAATACTAATATATTCAGAAAATGTGTGGATCTTACAAAAGCAAATTACTTTAAAAATATATAAAAATGCATTTCAAAAAGTATCTTTAATATTCATATTAACCGGAATCTGTGATATTTAAAACACCGTGTGATTTGTATGGCAGAAGATAGATTGTCTAAGATAACTGGGACCTGACATGATGTTCTGGAGTTTATATATCTTGAGAGTCCTTTAACATCACAAAATATTATTTGCATCTCAGTGGAGTTCACCATTATTATGCACTGTGCAAATTGTTTGTTGGTTACTAAAAAGACATAATACAAAAATATTAATTGAAATGTGTTCTTGGAAAAATGTTACTTGAATGTTTCTAGAGTTGAGACCCCCAGATGAACAATCTTTTTCTGTTCTCCTTTACAGTTTCAGATTCAGACATTTAAAATATGGCTTTCCATTGGTGTTTTGTTAGATATTTATTATATGCTATTACACTGATGTAAAACATAATAATGATTTTTATCATATAAATTGAAGATACTAGCTTGATCAAGCTATGTCCTGAGCTAATCTTTTTTTCCAAGGACTGATGAGGGGTGTTTACTGAGTAGGTACAACTTCTAAACCCTTTATGAATAATTACACTTATTAGTGAAATATCAAATTGAGATTAGAATTAGACTATATATTGTGTTACCACTATGGAAGATCATGAAGTTGACTCACTAGTATAGTAATCAAAACATGTTTCTTTAAAAATATAATGCTTTATTTAACCAAACAACCAAACCTATGTGAGACATATTTGAGAATCAATGGCAGGTACGGATTGAAATTATACCCCTAGAAGCCATCAGGCCACATTGGGATATTCCATTTATGTTGAAATGCCTGTCTTCAACAGGCAACATTTATGACACTTCTTTATTCTTTTATAGTTAATATTTAAGTGAAAGTAATTTGGTTGCACTCAAATATAGGTGATTATATAGCAATGATTGGCCATTATTTTGTTAAGACAAAATTGTGACTGTAAGGAAATCACTTTTCCAGAATTAAGCTATTCTATTTCTTTTCCCCTTCTAAATAGTTAACACAAATTATGCGAACTGGACAAAATACTTGGGAAAGTAAAAATATTCTTGCTGTTTCATTTGCTCCACTTGTGCAGCCAAGTAAGAATGATAACGGCAAACCCGATTCTGTGGGACTCCGTAAGTAACTGGTCCTTTGCAACTGAACTGTGACTTCAACTCCGAGGCTTGGGGTTTAATGGACTCTATGATTATGAAGAATTAAGTAGATACGCAGTAATATATTCATTGGATTTATTCACTTTTCTATTTAATACAGCCCTGTCTTGCACCAGACACTGTTAGCTGCCTTCATGGAAACATGAAAAGAAGGGGCAAGTGAAACAAAAATGAATTTATTAGTTATAGTTGTGAGATTATTAATTACAATTTATTAACTTGGTGGCATTTTCCATACAGAGGAACAGCAAACACAAAAGCCTTTATTTAGGCTGAAAAGAGCTTAGTCATTCCAAGACCAGAAATAAGTTTTAGGCTAGTTGAAGCTCACTGACTATACTGTAGAGCAGCGGTTCTCAACCTGTGGGTCGCGACCCCTTTGGGGGTCAAACAATCCTTTCATAGGGGTCGCCTAAGACCATCTGAAAACACATATGTAATTACATATTGTTTTTGTGACTAATCACTGTGTTTTAATTATGTTCAATTTCTAACAATGAAAATACATCCTGCATATCAGATATTTACATTATGATTCATAACAGTAGCAAAATTGCAGTTATGAAGTAGCAACGAAAATAATTTTATGGTTGTGGGTCACCACAACATGAAGAACTGTATTAAAGGGTCGCGGCATTAGGAAGGTTGAGAACCACTGCTGTAGAGGATAGGTTATATAAGACTTTACCTATACTTGAGGAGAGAGTCAGTGTTGATGTGGTTATAGGTGGTTGTTTGAAGGTAGAAAAATAGTGGACTGTATAGAAGATGGTGTTGGAGGAAAAAGAGTGATCTAAGTTTTATTTGAATAGCTAGCTAGGTGATGGTACCATTTATTGGTGTTTGGAAAACTGGGGGTGGAATGGTTTGGAAATAGGTGTAGGAAGATCAGATATTTTATTTTGGCCATGTTTGTGTTTTCTATTAGCATTATAGATGTTAGGTACTCAAGTAGTGTATAGTGTATACTTACTACAAGAGGGAGGGGTAGATTGAGAATCCTGAACATGAAGATGGCATTGTGAGAATGGATGAGAAATTAGGGGAGAGTGGAGATACAGAGAAGAGGTGTTAGGAGATAAAACAGGATGGTGTATTGGCAAAGGAAGGGCCACTGGAGGACACAGTGAGCACAGTGTGTTGAAAACCAAGAAGGAATAGCATTTCAGAAAGGAGGGAATGATCGCCTTAGTGAAGGTTACTGAGAACTTGGGAAAGAAGACAGCACCATGAAGTAAAGTTCTTTACCATAAGTGAACTTTACCATAATAGACTTAATTATTTTAATTTTATTTTTAAAAGAATTTATTCCATAGGAACCTGGCTTTATAGAGAGATTTGATTTTCTTTTCAGTGTGTGTTTCCTAATGGAAAAGGGAAGGGAAAGGATGAAACCACAGCTGGCCAGTTGCTTCTTACACACTCACCAGCTGTACAAGCTACTCCTCCTGCCCTGGGAAGAACCAGGGTGGTGATACAGGGAGACCCATGTCGCTCTGTGGTGCCACCCTCCCCGCGTGTCAGTCATGGGGCTCTCTTCCCGGACAGGGCTTACTGGCACCCTTCTCTGACAGGAGCTGCCGCCAGAGGAGATGCAGTGAGCACTTTATGGAGTCACAGACTCATAAGTTCTGCACAAGACTCTTATTTTGATCTCATTTAGAAAGAAATGAGGTGCACTCAATTCTAAAAAAATTTCAACCTTTTCTAATTCAGAAAGCATTATCAACTATTTTTTTAAAAATATACCCATTAACATGTTCTACTTAGAAAAAGGATTTGAGTCAAACTATACAGCAAATTGCATTAAACTATTATAGAAGGAAAATTTAAAAATAAGCATGACTACAAATAAACAAAAAAGGATTATCAAAAAGACTCTGTATTAGAAATATGAAGTTACTCCACTGGGATGTTAAGTTTAAACTTCCTTCCAGTCTAGTAAAAAAGAGATACGTTTTGGATGTGCTTTGGGGCCAAAAGGACCTGACTTCTTTTTAGCACCAGAATCAAGTAATTATCACTTGTATTCACATGCATTAAACAGTTATTTCACTGAGGTCTACCTTTCTTGTTGCCTATACACGTGCTTCCACACATATACACATGTACCAGTAGTTTATATATATGTAAAGTATATAATATATATACTGTAGTTTATAGTAGGCTATACTATAATTGTTGAATACTTAAACTCCTTGCTAAAAGTAACAATAATAACAAAGTAAAACTAAAGTTCCCTCATGTTTTTTAAGCATTAAGTTTATAGCTTATTTATGACAGTTTTGTTTAACCTATAATAGCTGGTTGCAGTTTCATAAAGGAAAGTAATGAAAAAAATTCTCTGACACAATTCAGTTTTACAGTAGCCTAACCATAAACATAATGTGCATCAGATATAACTCTACTTACAGAGTTCCTGTAGATTCCTGCAACAGCTATTTAAGTTTTTCCTTTGTAACTGACAGTATTATAACCCTCCGCATTTCTCTTTTTATCTGACAGTTTTTCTAGTTTAGTTTTCTTTCGAAGAGTTTTGGTTAAAAATGTGGCTTTATAGTAACATATTTTATGAATAGCATGGATGGTGATATGCTTTAAATGAGCGATTTTTGTTCTCCCTCATTTTTAAGGATGTCAACACAAATGGATCTAGGTAGTTAATAAGACTGTCATTGGTTGGATTGATTGACATTTGTAATTGTGAATGTAAAGTCGGAATTTTATGGAAGAGGATAAAATGGGGGAAGAGCCTAAATTTTAAGAAAATATTCATCATACTTCTGAAATATTTGTGGGTAAAATGAACTGTCTAAATTTTTTATCAAAATAATCTGGGTTGGGGATGGGAAGAAAAAATGGAAGTATTGATGAAGTAAGATTAGCTATAAGGGATAATTGTTGAAGTTGATTATTGAATATATGGGGTTCATTATACTATTGCCTCTTTTATAATACTTGAAAGTTTAAAATGAAGAGAAAGGTTGCAGCTGGTGTGGCTCAGAGGTTGAGCATTGACGTGTGAACCAGGAGGTCACGGTTTGATTCCAGATCACGGTTTGATGCCCGGGCTGCGGGTTGATCCCCAGTATGGGGCATGCAGGAGGCAGCTGATCAGTGATTCTCTCTCATCATTGATGTTTCTATCTTTCCTTCTCCCTTCCTCTCTGAATCAATAATTTATATATATATATGTTTAAAATAAATAGAAGGAAAAAGTCATCAGTTACCAAAAGCAGCTTACAAAAATGAGTCAGAAATGATCAGTTTCCAATAAAAATAAAGAAACTTTATATAGTAATGTTTTCAGAATAAAAAATTTGAAAATTGTTTGTCAAAGTTTAATAGGATGTATGGAGAATAAGAACAAGTTTCGCTTTTTATTTAACTTTCTGTTTAGAGAACATTTCATTATTATAGGGAGTTAAATTATAAAAGAATGTTAGTACCAACAGAAAAACCTGAAAATATACACATGCAGATCCTTTGCCAAATGTATTTTATAGCTATGATCTTGCTTATAAGAACAGTTACTAAAGAGTAGTTATAACTATTTCTCAGAATAATCCCTGATTTTTATTCAACTTAAAGTCATATTTCTTTTTTTGTTACAAGACATTCTAAAAGTATGGATACACTGCTTAAAGTTCAGGGCAGGCCATCAGAAGTAAAGTTAAAAATTGTACACCAAGTAAAGGAAACCTCCCCCATCCCCCCACCGCCAATACTTCTGTACTGCAGATGTGTGGAATTTTCCACACTGAGCAATTCTCCAATTCTTTGTGGATGCCAACAGGGTGTCCGTATGCTCTAAATCTGTTCTGACACTAACCAGTGTTAGTACAGACCCCACCAGTTAAGAGATTTGTCACACAACACTTTCCTCCTCCTACAGCTTCAGACACCCGTTGCAAGTCCAAGTTGTCATCTATGTTTCTGACAGCCTGGCTGTAAATTAGAGGTTCCCATGACCCCCTCCTAGAGTTTGGTAATTTGTTAGAGTGGCTTACAGAACCCAGGAAAGCAGTTTAGTTACTAGACTACTGGTTTATTGTAAAAGGATCCAACGCAGGAACAGCCGGATGGAATCGATGCATAGGGCCAGGGATTGGAGAATGACATAGAGCTTCATGCCTTCTTAGGGTATGTCATCCTCCCAGCACCTCCGGGTTCATAGGCCCAGAAGCTTTCTAATCACATGGTTGGATTCCCCTGGCAACCAGCCCGCCATGCTTAGGGGAAACCCAAAGGCACCTTATTAATGAAACTCGGGTGGGACTTATTGTGAACACAGAAGATATTCCTTTCGTCTTTATGATCTTATCATTTAGAAAATTCCAGGTGTTTTAGGAGCCCTGTGTCAGGAATGGGAAGCTAAATGTATATTTCTTATATATTAAATATCACAAGGGACAAAAGAAACTTCATAAATCTTGGCACTATACTACATTGAGCTATATGAAGTTGTTCTGTAGGTTAAAAATGGTTTAAAATAGTTGGTTTGGGGGTTTGGCCTAAATAAAATGCCTTTTTCAATCTTTGTTAACAAATTAAAATGTAAGTCCTGAGTGCTAGGTTCTTATAAAATCTGTATAGAGAATGTCTTTTGGGAAACAAGTAGAGTGTACATGTATCTATTAGAGATAATTAATTGTAATTATGGAGTGAAAGCTTCAATCTAAAATAAGATTTTATAGAGTAAGGATTAGTATTATTTGTTTCATTAAATCTTTATAACTGGAAGCATTAGAAACAAGGGAGTATCAAAGAATAGAAAATGTTGGGGATTTTTGAAGGGCTAGGGCTGAGAATTATTTCAGAGGTAGTGTGTCATTCAGAAGATCTTTGGGATGAAGTTTATGTGAATGATATTTTAGTACAGTCAAATCTCGGTTCAAATGTTGCCTTTGAGTTTTTAGAATAGATTTATTTCAATATCAAGAAGTATAAAAAAATATGTAGAGTAAAAATCTTTCTACTATTCTTGTCCCCCAACTCGTTAATTCTCATGTACTCTGTTTATAAGTTCTTATTTTTTTCTTCCAAAGGATTTTTATGAATATACAGAGGGTCACACGTATATCTACACATATCAACCTCTGCACTGTCCACTGTCCTCACCCAAGGATATGTTTTACTGAGTTTAAAGAGAGGAAGGGAGAGCAAGAGAGAGAAACATTGTTCAGTTGCTAGTTGCCTCCTGTACACGCCCTGACTGGGGGTCAAACCCGCAACCTTTTGGTGTATGGAACGACCCTCCAATCAACTGAGTCACCCGGCCAGGGCTGTTCTCAGTTCTTAGAATGGTGCCTGGCAGTTGGTAAACTCCTGGAAGTCTATGTTAGTTGAAAGTCAGAGTTTTTATACTTACTGTTTTCTAACATTCACTGAGAAATGCATTTTTTTCTGTGAAGAAATGAATAATATATAATGCTCTTCTGTTTATGTTCTGTGTGTGCTGTGTTATAGCCCCCTGTGCGGTCAGGAATCTGCAGGACTTGGCTCGTATTTATATTCGACGCACACTTAGAAATTTCATAAATGACGAGATGCAGGCCAAGGGGATTCCTCAGAGGGCTCCACCCAAAAGGAAAAGAAAGAGAGTTAAACAGAGAATTAACACTTACGTCTTTGTGGGTAATCAGCTTATTCCTCAGCCCCTAGACAGTGAAGAGGATGAAAAAATGGAAGAAGATAAAGAAGAGGAAGAGAAAGATGACAGTGATGCCATGAAGCCAGAGGAGCCGCCTCAGAATCTACTGAGAGAAAAAATCATGAAGCTCCCTCTCCCTGAGTCCTTAAAAGCTTACTTGACATATTTTAGAGAAAAATAACTTAAATCACGAAGAAAGAATGCCTACTGATAATTCCTTAAGTCTTGAAAATGTAGCATTTGTTAGAAGTTAAAGGAGAGAGAAATCTCTCTTACCAGCGAATTATAGTGGGTGGGTGGGGGGGGAGTATAACGTTTCTGTCTTACTAATGATGTATACAGTGATTAAAAATAATCCCTTTTATAAAATATATTTTTCTTTAAATCTTGGAAAAATTGCTGTTTTAATTCAGTGACTTCAAAAGTGGAATACAACAATAGTCAAGACTTTGTGTACTTTAAGTTTTTCTGATTCCCCACAGATTTGTAGTAGTGAGGGGTGGACTTCATTTTATATAAGGTTAAATAATTGTTAAGCATATGCAACCTTATTTGAATTGCAGTTTGCCTTTCCTGTATGGAAACTCAAATGCTTTGTAGACCCACTTACCTTCCTATTTTTGCAATCACTGTTGCTGAGTTACTATAGATGCATTCCGGGCAATATATGAGTGCAATAACAATAAAACATTGAGGAATTTAGCTTTAAAAAAGCTTCATGGAATTCAACAGCACTGCTACTTTTGCTTTTGAATCTATTGCCAAAAGACATGGGAAAAATACCTGCTTCTCTCATAGAGATTTTAAGAGCATACATCAAGTGAACGTTAAAGTAAAACATATATGCTTAATACTCATAATTTGTATGGACCCTTTACATTTTCAGTATTTAAAAACGATGAGGTTATATTACTCTGGAGTTTTAGAAGATAGTATATTTAGGATTGTTTTTTCTATAGTTCACTGTGTAAAGTATTTGGTTTTAAAAAATCCATTTTCTGTATGACTGTTGATAGCACAGTGAGTGAATGAAAAGCATGAGTGATGGCCACTTGTGGGTCGTGCTCGGTGGCAGGGCCTGAGCAGAGTTGGTTATAGCAGGTGCACTTTAGCAAATGGAACTTCTAGTTCGTCTGAGTACTTATCTTTGGCTGAGCTAGTCGACATTTGCTTTGAAATTCATTTTCGTAGTATAAGGAATATTCACACAAATTGTATATAGATGCCTTTTGCTTTGAAAATCTAGTTCCAAGTCATAGTGTAATCTTTAGGACCCACATTGTGCTCATTTAATTTCTTCCCATGTCTCTTGTTTCTTTTGGTAAAATTATAATTTTCTTTTTTTTTTTTTTTTGCTGAATGTCACATAATTAAACTATCATTTGACTGTTAGTTATAGCTTTTCAGTGATAACACAAGTAGTAAATGCCATTTTTAGTGTCTTTTCATCATACTAGGGCCTGAAATCAGTCACTTTTGTTAAGAAGTTATGCGATACAGCCTAGTTAGTAATTAGTGTCACAAGGATTATGTAATATTTAAAATGAAAATCTGAGAGTATCACTTATTACCATCCGCATCACTGTTAAAATAGTTGATCAAATATGCTTCAGGAAACCCAATCAGTGTACAGTGAAAGGATTATCACCTCTGCACATATTCAATTAGTAACACATAGATGCTTTTAAAAAATATATCAGTTCTGGAAATGCCACATGTCTAAAAGCAAGTGTTTAAAATATTCTATGCGTAAACGATCCTAAATAAATGGGAACATTTCAGTCACATAAAAGATAATTTTAGGGAAGGTGTTTGTTTTATACCAGTGACAGAGGCTAGGAGTTGGGTTGGAGTAGCTCCACAAATTTTCTCAGATTATTACTAAACTGTTACTGTTAAACACCTCATGCCATTTCTATCAAGGAAGTAGTTTTATACAATTGTCATCTATTTTATTTTGAATTAAATATTAGTTTTAGAAGTTTAATCTTGAATTCCTGGGTATTCACATATTTTTACCCAGCACCCCTCCACACACATGGGTGGTTTTCGGAGCTGATCCAGATATGCAGACGTACATAGTCTTAATGGTGGTTTCACTGTCAGGAGAGAGCTTTTATCTAGGCTGACTTTGAATATGGGCTTTTTCATCGCGTGTTTGAGTCTGTTGACCTTGGCAACGTGCACAGCTGGTTTTCACGATGGCATGTTTTTGTCGTTGAAATGTATCCTTTTTTACTTTAAATGCATTCATTTTACAGCTGTGGCTTTATTATCGACTTTAAAGAAAGAAATAGAAATAAAAACGGATAATTCAACTGAAAGCCCTTTTATGTATTAATGGGAATATGTTAGAATGATTAACAATATGTTGGGTTTGTGTTTATTTTTCAATGCATTCATGTTTACTTGAATATAGGTGATTATGCTTTATAAGTGGAGAAGTATCAAAAGATGAAGTAAAATTAATTGAAAATGATGAGCATATCATGTGATTGTTATAGCCAGATAAAACAATAGAAATAACCTAACCCAGTAAATTATTTTGCAAGAGAAAATAGGCCTGGGGAGGTAGCATGATTTCCTAAATCAGACAGCTTGTTGGAGATGGCTCAAAACAGTGTCCAGCATCTGATAAATCCCAAGGAATTTGTCAATGGCACCATAACTGCGAAGAAAATAATTTAAATCTATACTGCTTATTGGTCTATATATTTGGTTCTAGTACCAATAAAGGAAAATGGCATTAAAATGGCACATGTAGTGGTTAAAATAAAATATAAAAATAATGTGTTGGTTTCTAGCTGTCTGAGGGCATAAAAGTGAAGCAAAACTTGTTAAATTGTGGGAAGACTTGGAAAATTATTTTAAATAAACAATTGCATATAATGAAACCATTTCTCAGTGGCCTGGCTTTTTTTTTTAATGTAGGAAAACTCAGTACATCTATGGGTATATGCTGCATTACAGTTACAGTGGTCTGTATTTGGACATCTAATATCCCTTTGGCTGTTGCCACCTCTGAAGAGTGTAGGGTTCTTAAAAAATTACTTTTGTAAAATATTTAGTAGATATAAAGGATGTTTATAAAATATGTGTGCAGCACAAGGAATAATTCAGTGTACATGTCAATACAGCAAATCCTCACTTAATGTTATTGATAGGTTCTTGGAAACTGATCTTAAGCTAAACAATATAAAACGAAACCAATTTTATCATAGGCTAATTGATAAAAATTAAGTTTCTGTCTTCTATTTTTGATCACAAAAACATCAAACTTCTAAATAGTTCTCAAATCACATCTAATGTTAAACATTGAGATAAATGTGAGTTATACATCCATTTAAGAAAGATGAATAAAAATAAGACCATTATTTTTCAACCCACTTATTCCTGTTCAAGGCTGTGGGTGGCCAGGAGCCTCCTGGCAGCTTGGTGCGCGCACACGTACAGGGACCATTTAGACATGCCATACACCTCATGTACACATCTTTGGGATGTGGGAGGAAACCAGACTGCCCAGAGAAAACCCGCACGGACAGGGAGAGTGGGAAAGCTCCACACACGGTGGCCTCACCAGGAATCTATTTTTCCTCATCAACGTAACGAAACGATGTTGAAGGAAAATACGTTATTCAAGTGTGTGTGTTCCTACTGTTAGGCTGGCCTACTTGATTTACGATTATCTGTGTGCTCCTTCACAATCTCACCTTAATCCGTCCCTTTTCATGGGTAACCCTTTTGTGTTTATCATGAACTTGCTTTTGCTGTAGTCCTTTTATCACATGCACTTTTCTGTAAACTTTATATAAGTGGAATCATACTTTATGTATTCTCTTGCAATGCAATTTTCCACTAACATTTACCTTTCTGAGATTCAACTATGATGTATCTGGTTAGGTTACTTACATTCACATCTCACATTTTAATTCTGCTGTTGATGGACATGTATTTTCCCCTCAAATAATTCAGTTGTGAACATTCTTCAGCGTGTTCGTGGCTATATGTGAGCAAGAGTCTTAGTGTGTATATGAAGGAGAATTACTGGGTCATGGAACATGTTTATATTCACCTTTAGTAGATGGTGCAAGTGTTTCCCAGTGTAGTAATATATGTTCCTTCCAGCAACATTCAAATGTTCATTTTTCCATCTCCTCACCTACATTGGGTTCTGGTTTTTGCCTCTTTGGTAGGGGCTTTGTGACTTAATAAGGAGGGGTGTGTGTGTGCGTGCATACGTGTGTGTGTGTGTGTGTGTGTGTTCAAGTGTTCCTTGATTTTAGGTTTTCTATAACGTTTCTCAGTAATTGTACGAGTGAGAGTGAAAAGGAAGAAATTAGCTTTTTTTTTGGTTTATTGCTATTTAGACAATAAAAGACACATGAACAATGTCCAGAATACTTAAAAGTTTAATTAATTTTAAATCATTCTTGTTCATGGAGATTAATTTTTTTTCTTCTGATCTTCATGTCTTAAAAGCCCCACATGTTTAAGTTTGAACATTCTGCCAAAAGAGGGCAGTATTCACCTACAGTAGAATGTAAAGGGACAAGAAAATGACTGGAGAGAAGGCCAATGAATTCATTTTTTCCCATAAGGTTGACAAAATTCGATAAGCCAGCTCTCCACTCACTAGATTTATCTCCCAGTCCAGTCATCCGGGATTGTCGCCTAAACTGGACCATCCATGTTTCAATTTGTTTTTCTATTACTTTCACAGTTCTTAAAGTGCTAGTTTAGGATGAAATTTGTTTGAAAATTTCAGTCTTTAAAGATAAAGCCAAAACCCTCCTTAGATAACTTCTTACAGAGTGACCAAAAAATACGCATTTAACTGCGAGGCATATTTGCTGAAGAAGGCTGCTCTTTTCACCAGTGTGTCCCCAAAGGGGGGCGGCCGCTCGCCTCAGTGCGACAGGGCCAGGGCCGGTTAAAACTGCTCACGAAAAAGAGTCCTGCCACCGGTGCTGGGAGGTCAGAGGTTGCTCAGAACCAGCCTGGTTCTGACAGGGGCAGAAATAGGATGTTGGGGAACCAGCTAGAGTTGTAAGAAATATTAATCATGCTCTATTAACCGTGATAGTTTTATTCTGATTAAACAAGGCACATTCTAACTTGGCTGGCAGCTGCACTCAGGACCTGGGAGCTCATCTAGGTCAGCCCTTCCTCCCCGTTTGGAGCTGCCTGTCATTTGGAAAGCACTAATTTAAGTTCAGAGTGTGGTTCCAATTTATTATGTGCTGGAAACTGCATTTATTCTGTTCATTGTTGGGCTTTGTCCTGCGTGTGCCTGCCAGGTGGGTGATGGTCTCAGCCTCAAGCCCATGAAACGCTATTGGTTTTCCAAAGCAGACCCTCCAAATCGTCCCGAAGAATACCGGGTACATAGAAGCCTCACTGAACAACAAGTAACTAATCCGCACCTAGGAGGCACTGTGGGATGGGAGAATAAACCAGAATTTAGGAACCAAATGGGTCTGGGTTCAAGTCCTACTTCCTTGAAAATGACATGTATATGGTCCATCAGCTTCCTGGTAATTTAAGCATTTTATTTTTATGCTTGAAAATATCAAACGAAGTCTCACTCTAAAAACTAGCAAGACAGTATCTGGAACATTTGACCATATCTTTGCATTGTCAGAGCACAGCCCTAAAGGGGCCTTCATGCTAGGAAACACCCCTGCCAGTTCCTGTCAGGTAATATCAGAGCCTTTAGTTAGAGATGGGATAGCCTGTCCAATCAAGTGCCATGGACTTATGAGTAAATAAAATAAAATACTATGTAAGGTCCAGTTGGGACTCAGATTTTGCTTTTTGGGTTTTTCAAAGAAAAAAATTAGCACTCCGACATTCTTTTAAGAAGGTAATGAACAGATTGAAAGGACGTTGTCAATGTAATTGCGGAGAGTGCCAGTCTGAGCCTGATGGCCTTACAGACAAAATGTGTGGTGTCTGGGGTGAGTTCTCAATTTCTTGGTGTATCCGTTTCCTCTCTGTAAAATTAGATCCTGATAGTGTTCGCCCTCCAGGGTTATTCTGGGATTAAATGAGTTAATGCATGTTAAGAACTTAGAAAGTGTCTATAGAAGTGTTCACTATTATTAATTACTAGAGGCCCGATGCATGAAATCGTGCAAGAGTAGGCCTTCCTTCCCCCGGCTGCAGGCACCCGCTTCCCTCTGGCACCCGGGACCGGGCTTCCTTCGCAGCCCCGGCTTCATCCAGAACAGTGGTTCTCAACCTCCTAATGCCGCGACCCTTTAATACAGTTCCTCATGTTGTGGTGACCCCCAATTTCATTGTTACAAATTGAAAATTAAAGCATAGTGATTAATCACAAAAACAATATGTAATTATATGTTTTCCAATGGTCTTAGGTGACCTCTGTGAAAGGGTCGTTTGACCCCCAACGGGGTCACAACCCACAGGTTGAGAACCACTGGTCCAGAAAGACAGAAGGACATCTGGTCTAATTAGCATATTATGCTTTTATTATTATAGAGTATGTTTATAATTAAGGACAGGAGCTATAAACTCAAATACCTACAGGAAACTGGCTGGTAAGTACTTTGAGGAAACTAGGGTGAATGGAAGACATATTACTGTGTAGATGGGATGGTGGACAACTGACCAGGGGCTTGGCAGCTGAGGGACCATGAGGAGAGGGAGGTATGGCAGCTGGATGGGTCAGCCAGGTCCTCCGCTGATGGCTGTCCTGTGGAAATTTGGGCTTGCTAATATCTTGCCAAATTTTCCAATAAACGATGGATATAAAAAATAAAATTTTCTACCTTTTAAATACTAGTAGCTTATTACATTTTTAAAAGTGAAGGGCCCAGGACTTTTAGTTTGTGACCTCTATTAGTGAGACGGCATAAAAGCTGAGAAATGTATATAAAGTCTATAAAAATTGGTCCCCTACTTCTTAAGGACCAAAAACCCTTGAATAGGATTACATTTTCAGGTAAGCAATATCACGAAGGACCACAACTAAACACATTAAGATAAGACAAATAGAGTGTGGCTATATTTCAGGAGAACCAGAGATTTTGTTAAACCATACTTAAAAATATATGTATTATCACGATAACAGTGAAAACAAGGTCAATAACATATCTAACACTACAAATGGCCAAAGTGATTAGTAAATATTAATGAGTAATATTGTTACAATTTTTTCTTGTTTTAAATTCAAAAGTATGTAGCGTGTGAAGTTTTAAATATGTGATTTAAAGGCATTTCCCTTATGTACAAGCCTTGCTTTGCCCTCTAAATAATACAAGACTTGAGCAAAAAGCTGGTGGCAGGAAATGGGAAAATGATTTAACCTCAGTCATGAAAAGAACGGATCCAGCTGATAAAAATTTCACCTTATTCAAGAAGAAAATAGGATTCTTTTCGCTCTCTCCAGTGTCAATTGCAGCCGGGTGTCTTTTTTCCTTTCACTTAACCCCCAGGGGTTACTTTTACCTTTGAAATAGAATTTTTCATAACTTTTTTTTATAACTGACATAACTTGTTGGCTTTGATCGCTGAACAGTAGTGAAAAGGCTTGAACTCCGTAAACGTTTCCCCCATTTGGCCTGATAGAAGCAAAGCCCGAGGGGGCTCAGCTGAACTTACATATACACTCGCACCTTCAGTGGTTCATCTGTCACGGAGAGAAAGGGGATTGGAATGCATTTCCTATGGACACCTGCCTCACAAGCCGGGGGGACTATTTCAGCGATGTCCCCAGTCTCGGGGGCCGACCACCGCACAGCCTTCCTGGCCTCAGGAGGCTGAGCCAGTGCGTTTCTATGAGGAGCTGGGAGAGGCTGTTGGGAAGGCCAGCTGAGTGTGCATGACGCCCAAGCGCCAAGAGTGGGTGAGGGGACAGGGGGGAGAGGCCCCTCGA